TATATATTAAGTGTATATATATATATAACAGACGGTATATCCCCTCATCGTAGCTACAGCAGTTCCGTTGTACACAATAATCCTAGACGTACAAAGCGTTAAGTACGCCGTTCGCTCGACTCACTGTTGGATGACTGGGACTGCCGTGGGCGTATGCCATACACCACAGTGCACTTGACTGACCTCATCGTTAACGTTAAATAGCATACCTGGGCCACACGCGCTAACTTGGTTGTAGATAGCAGTGTGCTATCACATTTATTTCCGGTGTACGTGTACGTCTCTGGATCAGACTGTACGCGTGGATACACGCCGTCGTATGTGTCTACGTATCCGTTTACGTCTATGGTAGACAGAGCGTCTGTGTCTGACTGTGAACGATGCATTGCGTTCGCATTGGGCCTATTAGCCTCCCCCACTCAACCCGTTTACGTGACTGTGCTATCTGCAGCCAGACCGACTAGTGAATCAACTGGGGCTAGCTATAGACTATGGTACTGCAGTGCTGTTGTTGTGGGGAACCATAAAACCTTAAACCCTAAGACATATCGGTGTGTACTAAATACAGGCACGAACCAGTAGCTCTATGCGCTGTTGTTGCAGTGGCCCATGCTCTGCAAGTAGATTGTGCTTCCATTACATACACATCGTTTATTTACTAAATACAGGCACGAATCATTAGCTTTATGTGTTGTTGTTATAGTGGCCCATGCTCTGCATATAGATTGTGCTTCCATTACATATATATATATCGTTTGTATACTAAATTTATGCACGAACCAGTAGCTCTATGTGCTGTTGTTGCAGTGGACCATGCTCTGCAAATAGATTGTGCTTCCAATACATACATATCGTTTGTTTACTAAATTCAGACACGAACCAATAGCTCTATGTGCTGTTGTTGTAGTGTACCATACTCTGCAAATAGATTGTGCTTCCATTACTTACTTATCATCTGTTTACTAAATTTAGACACGAACCATTAGCTCTATGTACTGTTGTTGTAGTGGTTGTTCATACCCACACCCTACACCGCGAGCACAAGCCAACGCCCTTGGCGGATGATGATAGCGGCCTTAGGCATAGAGGTGTGCCGTGATTCAACTTCAATGAAGAATTGCTACTGGTACGCGCAATGTAGCAGCGTGTGTTGTACTACGTCTCTGTCTGGCGCACACACCCGTGCGTCGCCACCAATGATGGAATGGCCGGGGTGTGATAGTACGCCTCATATCCCAATCGCGCACTCTGAGCCAGTCTACACACCCACTCCAATTTCAGCACAGTCGGTGCTTTGGAATGACCTGCCATGTTTGCTCTTGAGTTGGTACTGTACCTATTCGGTACACGGCTAACATCCGGCTACCATAGTATACCCAGAGGAAGTGAGATGATTTTAGGCCCACATGTAGGCCCCATGTGCTATGCTTCTAGACCACATGTGTGACTTTCTTGCAACACCTGGCATCGCCTTATTCGCTGGCAGTCTCTCAGCCGAGGACTGTATGTACCATGACTTGAAGTATGACCAGTCGAGGTGAGGTGGTTTTAGGCCCACAAGCAGGCCCCATGTGGCATGCTTATAGACCACATGTGCGACTTTCTTGTGACTCGCATTCAGTCGAGAGCTGTATGCACCGTGCGTGTCTTCAGGTCAACTCACTATCCTTCTTCAGCACAAACACAGCCACCGTAAATATGGGATACCCTATCAACAGTAGCGCCATAGCTACCTTATCAATGCGCTTGGCCAGCCTGTATACCTGGTACGGCCGCTTCTTCACGTAGTTGTGCAGAAACCGATAGTTCATGGTCCTGTGAGAGTGGGGGGTGCGTAGTAGACTTGAGCACGTAGGATATGTGCTCTAAGATGATTCGGGCTGTATGTGTGTGAAGATGATTTGAGGTGTATGTGTATGAAGATGATTCGAGGGATATGTGTAGGGGGACATAGTGCATGTGTTTTTGTGTGTATGCACTCACTTCTCTTATTACAGCTCCCTGCTCCAAACCATACATAACTTTTCCGGCAGACATGTGATGACTTTCATTGAGGTGTATACGTCGTACAATATGGTTGTTAGAATGATAACCATCGTACTATCTCTCGTGGGTTTCTTCATCAATAGCTACACCCAAGTGTACGGTAAACGTATGTGTATATACGTTGTAATATGCGTGACATGCACTCCCAAGAAATATACAAGTAC